ATGGCGGATGTCCGGGGGGAGGGGGGGGGTCACTAATTCGGACAATGCCGGACAAGGGGGGGAGGGGGGGTCTGAAAATCCATCATTTGGCTGGACATCCTTTGTGAATGGCCCCTAATGTAGAACTGAATAAAGTACTCTACAACAAATAATAAATATATATACGGCATATAATAAATATATATATACGGCATATAATATATATCGGCATATAATATATATACAAAACCTAATATATTTGGTGCACTGCAATGGCTCACATAGCGATGCACTCATTATGAAAACCTTTGAATCGAAAAGTGTCATAACTTTTTTAGATCTGACAATGTATTGCTGCCAAAAACACCATCGAAAAAACGCCATCGTAGGATCATCCGAGATCGTCACAACCAGGAAAACATCGATCCGAACATCCCACCCAAAGCGTCGGCGGAAGAACCCTCTCCTGTGAAACGAACCACGCGAAGCTCGAGACGAAATAACCCAGCTCCAAGCCAAGTAAAACCAACAAAGAAACAAAACTCTAGGGGCCGACCAAAGAAAGCTGAACAACCCAAAGTCGCTTTTGTCAGTGAGAGTAAAGTACAGGTAGTTACTGAAGTGAAGTCACCGCCAGCCAAAGTTTGCACCCTTAAACGGACATCGTCAACAAGTCCAGTTTTGATCAAGCCAGTCAAAAAGAAATCAAAGTCTAGTGATGAGTCGTCGTTACTTGACGAGGACAGTTCGCTAAAGAAACAGACTTCGACACCGGTTAATGCTGAACCTCTGCAAATGCTCTCGTTAAGCTCGATTGCTGATGACTCCGATACTAAAGCCGATGCTAACGAGCTCGTTAATGTTGCGGACAAAGATGAAACAAATTTGCTTAAGTCATATGAATTGAAAGCTGTCAAAATGGATGTTGATATTAAGGGAAAAAATGAACCGCCGACTGGTATACTTGTGGAAATTGACATGAAAGACGAGGAAAGGGGTGGAGTCACTTTCGTTCCTAGCCCTCCACCTGTTATAAAGATTCCAGTTGTACCACCAACAGGAATTTTGGTAAACATTAACGACACTCTTCCGGCCACTAACAAGATTGTTGACAAAATTACTAACGAAGCTGTTGCCGAATCCCCTGTAATTAACGAGACCCCTGGAAAAATTGTTAACAAGACCATCGTTAAGGAGACCCCTGATAAAATTACTAACAATGTAGTTGTTAACGAGCTTAATATTAACATGTTTCCTGCGCTGATGAGTGAGTCCGATAATGAACACGTTAAGGATGAACAATTGAATTCTGCATCTGTTGTGCAGTTAGGGACAGATTTGGGTAGCCCTGTACAGCAACTACGCCGTAGCAAGCGGCTATCGAGGCAAATTAATGCTGACGAGCTTGTTGCCGAGCCATTACTCAAGCAGAAGAAACAAGTGGACAAGCCAATATCCGTCGAGAAACCGACTTCCGATAGCCAGGACGAGGCCCCAACCCAAAGTGTGGTATTGGACACGCCCGAATCCAAACCAGTAAGGCGTAGCAGTCGGCGCATTAGCGTAGTGTCGACAGGGTATAAAAGGCAATCGTCCCGCAGATCGAGCCATCAGCCGGGTTATTTCAGGAAACCTGTGACAATGAAACAAATCGAGGTTCATTTACATGATGTTGGTATTAACGAGGTCGTCATTAAATCAGAGCCGAGTGCTACACCTGAATTGCATAAAGCAGTGTGTTCAGGTAGCGAGCATTCGTCGGCAGAATCCGAAGATGATGCTGTTAGTTCAATTCCTCGCTCGAATATCCCACATCAGAGGTATGGTTTTAGTATCACAATTTGAACGTCAATGTACAGGGGCGGGTCTAACCCCGCCTGCAAGGAGGGGTGCAGGTTTTCCATGGGGTGGTGCATGAGGGAGCCTTTCTGCCCACTCTCCTCTGCAGTCTGCAACGCTACTATCCCAACATTACCATTATTTGAGATGGCCGAATCTGCATGTTCACCGTTCTGTTACGTTTTACATTATCTTTTGTTTATAAAGTTTATATCGGCTTTTTATCACGTATGCGTGACTGGACAGTTGCTGTAGCACAGTACAGTAAATTTGCTAGTTAAAGTACAGTATATTTGAAAATATGACTGTATAACAACCTCAACATGCTTATATATATAATAACCATGATATTGAACTAAAGCATTCTGAGTATTTTCTTGTGAGCTCACAAATCAATCGAATCGTTTCAAGAAATCGACACGCACTAACAGTAGAAGTTCCGCTAATCGCTATTCGAAAAGCAGAAAATGTATAGTCAAACAGATTTTTTTAAGGTGGTGCTGGATTTCTGTAGGGGGGGGGGGAGGGGTGCTATACACCACTAGGTGGGGTGCGCCCCCCCCCCCCCAACATTACGTAAGCCAATGCCGTTGCGTCAGACAATATATACCCTATACTTTCCTGTTCTTATATATTACTTTGTTTCCTAATTCTAGCGCCAAGACAGATTCCTCAAGTGATGAACCTTCAGTAAGTTTAGTTTTTAATAAAATTTTTCGTATCTCTGAGCATGGATAATAAAATAAATGGATAGGACTCTAGCTGACGTCACAGTCCAATCTGTGAGGTCGCGCGTATTGCCAAAATTCTCGGCATTTTTGTTGTTTCGCTATATTTCCGCTTTAAAAGAGTAATATTGAAGCATAAACTGGTCTAATTGTTTTAAAAACATGCCTAAGCCACAACAAAGTATTCAAGGTAAATGTTTTTCGTCTTTGTTTTGTATTTTTTTACATTCCAGGTGATCTCGTGTTCGTATTTTAGCCAATCAGCGCTCAGAAAGGGATGTCCGAATAGAAATTCATTTTGATGTTTTCAGTCAATTATATCTTTCGTTGTTCTTTATGAAACTAGTTGAAATTTTGTAATTATGTTTGGTTATGAGAACTCTAGCTCTGACAAAAAATATGGAATCGAAATAAAATATATTACAGGAGATATTCAGTTGTTTTAATCATAAAATGGATTTCTATTTGACAACTAGTACCAGTACTTCTCTGCGTATCAAGATCATCTGGTTTGAAGCTACGAAATTAGCGTCACAAATTTTAACGAAATTTGCGATGCATTTTTCACTGTTTAGTGCTTGAAATATTTGCTAAAATTGACTGGAAATACTTCGAGATTTCATCGTAGAATGGCGTAGTTATATTTATTTGCTCTTTGACTAAAATGTTTAGCTGTATTATTGCTAAACATGCCGTTTTTGAGAATTTGGTTTGCAACTAGGTTTCAACATCCAATCGCGCCATCATCCCATTGAAAACATTAGGTCACGTCAGCTAGTTTCCTAAATTCCATTTATTTTATTATCCATGCTCTGAGGATGGTTCTGAAATAGAATTGAAACACTGCGCGTCCTCTAAGACAAGCGTTAAGTCGTCACGAAATTATTTCGTGCACTTAAATTGGATAAGACGCGGTACCAATCCCCGTTGACTCGATAACTCAATGGGTAGAGCGGCGGTCTAGATTACCCGAAGATGCGAGTTCAAATCCCCCTCGAGCCATCGAATTTTTCGTTTGTCGATTGCAGTGTCAGAATAATATGAAACTGGGTTTTTTAAATAAAATAAGCACAAAGAAAACCTAATCCATTTCAGTACAGGGTGTATAGAAAAACCTGCACAGTTCGAAAATGCAAAGTTTAATAATAATAATAAATACTTTATTTAAACTGTTAAAAATCCCATCAGCAATGCTGCTGGTGTTAACGGGAGAACAGTGATTGCAATTATCAACGATTGCATGTATACAATATAAACATGCATCCTAAATACTACAAATATGAGAATTGTTGTCAAGTTCTAAAAGATGCGCGTAAACAGTACGTTTAAATTTTGAGAGTGATATCAATGCTCTAATGTTTAATGGTAGAGAGTTCCAGTCTTTATCACTAGCATACTTGAAAGTAGATTGACCTATTGCACTGTTCACCTTCGGAAAATCAAGCAGCGTCTTATCCCTCAGGTCTCTGTTGTGCATGCAACGTCTGAATTTGAACGTATCTCTCAATTGACTGGGGCAGTCCAAGTTGTACAATATCTTGAAAATACACATAAAGCGTAAAAATCGTCTCCTGCTGTGCAATGTCAGCAGCTTTAGTTCGCTGCGCATCTCTTGAGAGCATTTTTCGCCTTCCTTTGTGAAGGATAATCGTCAAAGCACGATTCTGCAGTTTCTCGACCCACCTCGTTTGGATTATTCCACACTCATGCCAAACAGTCGAACCATAGTCCAAGATGGGTAGCATAGTTTGTTTGTAGATACGGAGTAAAATTACGGAGGGCAGAAATGATGATATGCGATTGAGTAAGCCAAGTTTTGGATACAAGCGTTGACATATTCTGCTAACATGCTTTTCCCATGACAGAATGTTGCTTATATTCGAACACCGAGATAGTCAAATGTAGTCACAACATCAAGGATCTCATTGTCCAGATAGATTTCAATATCATTTGCCCTTTTCAGTGCATGCCATTTGTCAAAACCGCTTGGGGTCTGAGCACTAGTATCTTTACCACTCAAATCAATCTCGTTCCCCGAGCCTGCGATCCTTGGGAAGGAATCGAAGGCTCTGGGATAATCCGTTACCGGAAGCCAAGAATCCTGGCTAAGATTGAACTACGCATTCCATTTCAATGGCCAATCAGATTCCTCCCTGAAACGGATTATCCCAGAGCCTCGCGTTCCTTCCCGAGGATCGCAGGCTCGGGGAACGAGATTGCACTCAAATGATTTTGAGAAGTAAATTTACGAGTGCAGGGGCACAAAAGTGGAAGGTTGAAGAATGAAGGAAAACGCAATTTGAATGGACCAATTATCCCCAATTAACCAAAATTTTGAACTCAACAAGTTTAGACAAAAATTTCATCACAGCTTGAAAGAGCATCACAAAATTAGTAATATTCCGAAGTTTCGTTGCAAAATGTTGTAAAATACGGATAATATAGCCCTGCGAAGTTTGCCGTTTTTCAGTCATTTTGTATTACGCGCGGGAAATTGATAAACCGCTTTCCGAAAAAAGGTATCAATTTCCCGCGCGTAATACAAAATGACTGAAAAACGGCAAACTTCGCAAGGCTATATTATCCGCATTTTACAACATTTCGCATGGAAACTTCGGAAAGTTACTAATTTTATGATGCTCTTTCAAGCTGTGGTGAAATGTTTGTCTAGACTTGTCTAGATCAAAATTTTGTACAGTGAATTCATTTATTCTTTTAGGAGGGTACAGTGGCTGGAATTATTCAAAAATTTAATAAAAAGAACGAACAGACAAGGTATGTCGTTACTTTTCGATTAGATTTCGGGGCTTACCAGTTTTCAGGGGGCGGATCTAGCCTCGTCTGCAAGGAGGGGTGCAGGTTTTCCATGGTGTGGTGCATGAGGGAGCCTTACTGCCCACTCTCCTCTGCAGTCTGCAACGCTACTATCCCAACATTACCATTATTTGAGATGGCCGAATCTACATGTTCGCCGTTCTGTTACGTTTTACATTATCTTTTGTTTATCAAGTTTATACAGGGGTCGAAATTCACGCTATTCCGAATATACTAAAATGCCTGACGGAATAGTAAACTTCACGATCACAGTATTCCGTTTGTATAGTAGAAAAAATTGTGGTACCAAATATCGACAAGCAAGAGTTTTCCTCTTGTATAATATATCACTTTATACCGGACTTTGAGCCACTGTTCCACTTCATAGCTAAGTTTTTGTGCAGTGTTTGAACATTGTTTTTTATTAATAATTTATTCGTCACTGCACAGAGCAATGCACTGTACATGTTTATTTTTTGTTATTCAATTATTCAGTTCACTTTATAGGAGTCTCAAGGATGATTTCGTGAAAATCAGAACATTAGCGCGGATCCTGCATGAACAGGCTCTCAGAAACAGTACATTAGTCATTAAGGAATAGTGCCGGGATCTTCAGACGGAAGAGTAAATATAAAAATCTACTATTCCGGCTGTATAGTGCAACAAAATTTAAATTTCGACCCCTGTTATATCGGCTTTTTATCACGTATGCGTGACTGGACAGTTGCTGTAGCACAGTACAGTAAGGGGCCGATTACATGGGCGCGTTGTCCCGGCTAAGCGAGTTGACTCGCTTTGCCGAGTTGATCCGCTTCCTATACAGGGTGTATCAAAATAAACGCAATTCATCTTTTGTGCTTAATAACTTTCGAAACACTATTTCTAGTTAAACGCTTTTAGGCTTACTTCAAAGCCTGTTCTTTTCTCTTTCAAATAAACTATTATCCTTGTCTCCAATGCTAGTAATAATTGCACAGGAAAAGATTTAGTAAAACCTATCATTTTTAGTTGCTGTTTAATTATGCAAGTTTACTATGTTATTGTTTAGTCGGTTTAAATGTTAGAATTTTCTTCTTGAAACTTTAATGTTGTCGTCACTACATCTGGAAAACCACGTAAGAACAAATTAAAAGTATTTTAAAAGAGACCAGGTTGTTTGAAAATCCTAAACGAATGCTAAAAATCGTCAAACATTCTGGTGTCTGAGCCAGAGTGTCATCGAATTGCGATGTAATGTAAACAGAAATTATAGCAAGTTGATGTCAGTCAGCTTAGATGGTCCAAGCCAAAATTATATCGCATTCGAAGTTTCAAACTGAGTTAAAAATAGTGGAAGAAAAGCCGTAATTATACTTATTGTTACAATCCATTTAATAAAATGCAACATTTGTTTGTTTTAATGAAAAAATCAGTTATTTTCATGAGAACGATTTGTTATTCCATCTCAATTTTTTAATCTCCAATCGCAATAACGTAAAGTATTATTACCCGCGAACCAATGAGTCAAATTTAAGAAACAACCCACTGTTAGAAAGCTGAATGGCTACGCTTTAAAATGAATGTAAACTTTAACGTTTTCGTCTATTATTTGTTTAGCAATTTACATTTCAGTCGAGGATTGCGCTTTTTTTGATACACCCTGTATATGTATTGTCTATTATTTTGACATTTCGATTACATGCGAAACGAGTTGTCCCGCCTTGCCGGGACAGCGGCTGTAGCTTGCCAAGTCAACTCGCTTAGCCGGGACAGAAATTGCCCACACATCCCATGTAATCGTGCCGAGTTGGTTCGGCAAAGCGGGCTGAAAACCACCCTTATGCATGTTTTAATTTTGATTATATGTACAAATATAAGTTAAAAAAAAAACTTCAAATAACATCAAAATGATATTAATGAACGTTTTCAAGGTTTAGATAGGATAAGCGACACAATTTTGTTAGAATACAAACAGTATAAGCCTGTTGGGATTAGCGCTAAGTATAAATACCTCAACCAACAACATTCAGTGGGTAAAGTAGTCCTCAAATACAACAAATACACCATTTTTTATCTATTTCTAACACCGAGTATTAAATTGTTATGCATTATAAATCTTAATGAGCTACTTCAGCCCGGGTTAGCGCGGTGCATGTAATCGCAATTCAAAAGTCAACTCGCTTAGATAAACTACATATTAAATAAAATGGGTCCCAAATCACTCGCAAATCTATTTTCTTATAAATGTGAGAAAACAAACTATCACCTTCGGGACATTTCAACTGGTCTTTGTTTACCAAAACCTCGTACTAATAACATGAAAAATAGTTTCATGTACAACGGAGCTAAACTTTGGAATTCTATTCCAAAAGAAATTAGGGAAAGCGAATCACTTTCTTCCTTTCGAAATAAAATCGCTGCTCACATTTATGAATAATAAGTATTGTAAATAATGTGCCTGTAAATAGTCTGCCAACTTTCTCATTAGACATTAATATGTTACTATTTTAATACTCATTAATATGTTATTGTATATCTCTTAAAACTTTTGTAAATAGCTCTAACTATCACTTTCCTGTACATGTAAAAATCTTATTCAATTTTTTGGCACACGCCCCTCGTGGGAATCAGCTTCGGTTGACGGGGTCAGCGTGTATAAATAAAAGTTCTATCTATCTAACTCGGCAAAGCGGGACAACTCGGCCCATGTAATCAGCCCCTTAATTTGCTGTGAAAGTACAGTATATTTGAAAATATGGCTGTATAATAACTTCGACATGCTTACATATTTAACCATGATATTTAACTAAAGCGTTCTGATTATTTTCTCGTGAGCTCACAAATCATTTAAAGAAGTGTCTTTGTTTGTAATGAATTTCTTTAGCTTGTTCAAAACACCAAATGGAATTCGAAAGATCAAAAGGATTGGCTCTGGCGTTCAGGGATCTTCACATCAAAAACCAGCAAATTTGGTTGGAGGAAGTGTGAAGTCCTTTATCAAACGACAGTCCGTGAAAAAACTTGATGCCAATGTAAGTAGAAAATAAAAAAAAATGGAATGTAGTCATAAGGGACTTGTCAAAAAGTAACTGCTACGGTGGGCTGGAGGTAAATCACAAATTTTGCCAATAAGTTTGGTGACCCATCTTAGGATGTAGATAAAAATTTCAAAGCCCATCTAATCTTATCAAATTTATTTCATGACCCACCCACCCAATCTAAATTGGGAAAATACACTTTTATAATAAAAACTTGCAGGTTTGAATATTGTAAATATACACCGGCACTGTATTGACATACATATTCCACCAAGCTCGACCAACACATTCATCACCAATTACGATACTGAGCTGCTCTCCAGTTGGTTGTATTTGCTGTGATTCGACCACGCACTTGTTGTTGTTGTTGTATAAAACAGAGTACTGGCTTCAATAGCATCATTTGATAATTTTGATAGTTTTGTTTACGTTTTGTGTAATATCTTTATTTTTTGAAGTAGACATCGGTTTTTGTTTGGTGACCCAACCGTGGACATACACAAAAATTGGCGGCCCATCGAAACTGCCCAAAGATTTTCCATGGCTCATCCCAAATCACTCTGGCCCACCCTAGCAGTTACTTTATGACCGGTCCCTTACCAAGTGGAAACTTATATTCATTAGTTTTAAGCGCGTCTTACTACAAACAAACCAAAGATTCTCCTCTTAACGACATATTGATTCTAAACCTCTCATTCATAGGAAGTTGCGCGTCAAAAGAAACTGGACTTACAACGTAAAGAGGAGAAAGATAGGGAACGAAAAGATCAAGCTGAATTGAGACGCAAAAACTGGGCGGATCAACAGAAACGGTATGGCTAGCCTAATTCTTTCCCGCTCCGGCAACTCAGTGTGCTATTTAAAACATGAATAGCAGTGTTTTATCAGATATAAAGACACGAGGCGAAGCCGAGTATCTTTAGGCCTGATAAAACACGCACTGTGAATGTTTTAAATTGCTTCAAAAACGATCGATCTAGTAAGTTCATTGGCGAAGTAATTTTCAAAAAATACGTTGTGTTAGTCCAGAAAATCAAAGTTAAAGTTTATGTAAATCAAGGGAAATCTCTATCACGTATAAAGATAGGACACGCTTATGATTTTTCTTTGTGTTTTGCTCATGAATTATTAATGAGTTTTTGAGTGTAATTTATCAACCGATTATACTGGCTAGAGAACAACTGATATATTTGGGGCTGGAAAGATATAATCTGCAAGTTACGATTTCAGTTTTTGAAAGTTAATAAAACAGCCAATGAAAGGAAATTTTAAAAGATATGTAGACTAAATAACTCGAAATTTTATAGCGCTTCTAAATATTTGGAAAACTTAAACTAGGATGGTCAGTGAAAAATCGAAAAATCGCGCCGCGTTGTCGAATCGCGTCCGGTGAGCCTCGGCCATAATTACCCTAGCTTTAAATTGTGTGTTTTCTATTCAACTTATCGTGCGTGTTTTTCCGTGCAGTAAACGCGAAGAGAAACAGAAACGTGTCGCGGAAGCCAAAGCGGCGCGAGCACGCGAGGAACAAGACAAGAAAGAGCGACAGCTTGAGGACAAAAGACAAATGGTGTATGCGTCGGAACAAGCCCGGAAAAAGAGAGAACACGGTAAGTGTAAGGGCCTTTACAGCATAGATATCTTATATACACTAGATAGCGCATCTCTTTTAGTAAAATGGAAGCCAAGAATATTCCAGCGGTTACCCGGCCCCATTTGAATAGATGGCGGCCATGTTGGTCGTTCCCACTTGCTAATAAACGCTTAAAAACAACAATAACTTTCATCACTTGAATGGTTTAAAAACGTATTTGGCATAGGGTTAACTTCATGTTTAAGTTCCCTGTTTAAGATTAGGAAATATACGAATCTTCTCATTTCATGGGAACGACCTGAGACTGCAATCACGGCTTCAATTTTGAATTGCAGAATAATTAGATGCACTATCTAGTGTATATAAGATATCTATGCTTTAACTCCTAACTTGAAGGACACCTCTGAACAATTCCATTTCCTCAACAATTTGATAAGTTCCTTAAAAAGTTCATAGCTTCCTGTTTCATTGACCAATCAGATTGCTCAAAAATAAAATATAAAATTTGATTGGTCAATGAAACAGGAAGTTAGGAACTTTTTAAGGAACTTATCAAATTGTTGAGAATTGTCAGAGGTGTTCCTTCAAGTTAGGAAATGAATTGGTCAACATTTTTCGGAACGCGTCTATTGCACGACTGTAAATATCGGTCAGAGAACCGGCCGACAAAATGTTCGATCACTTTCAGTTTGGGTCGGACATATGGCCAAAAGCAGGCCATATAGTCTTAGAAATGACAGGCAAAAACGAATTTGAACTGCCAAGTAGAAAAAAATGGCCGGTGAAATTCCATAGATATATTTCATTTCATTTGCTTAGGGACCATTCACAAAGGATGTCCGGCCAAATGATGGATTTTCAGACTCCCCCTCCCCCCCCCTTGTCCGGCATTGTCCGAATTAGTGACCCCCTCCCCCCGGACATCCGCCATGCCTCGCAAAAACTCACGCAACCTTGTATATATCAAGAGTAAAAAACTTTTTACTTTTAGAACTTTTTTATAACTGTAAATGTGAACACAAAAACATATAAATTACTAATTAAAACAAAATCTAGTGTTAACCGCATAGTCAAAATGCCAATTTCACAATGGGGAGGACTGCTCAAAATAGAGGGAAAACGAAATTTGTTTTTGAATTTTTTTAAATTTCGGACATCCGGATTGCTAAAACCCCCCCTCCCCTATGTCCGAGTTTGTCCTGATTTTCCAAACCCCCCCCCCCCCCCTCGGCTCGGACATCCTTTGTGAATGGCCCCTTACCACAACTCATACTTTTGGAGTTGTTTTTGGGGGGTTGTTTTGGGTTTGGTTTGGGGGTTGTTTTGGGTTATTTTGGACTTGTTTTGGGTTTGTTTTGGCCAGTACTAGATCATTTAGTTAACTAAATACGTTTATACTTGAAATGTAAATCCAAGTTTACCGTAGTAAAATAATAGTCAAGTTTAAAAATATTAAATAATAAAAATGCATATCATGAAAACACTGATTTTTACAATAAGATTCCTATGAGACATCGCCATTTTGGCAGTTCAATGAATGAAAGTTGCAAGCTAAAATTTATTTCACCTGCCAAAAAATTTTTAGACTGGCAAGCCATATTTTTGCAGGCCATATTTTAGCCCTGATGTGCGACGACTTTGAGTTCAGTTTCGCTTTGAAATAAGAATGAATGCAGACACAGTTCGATGACTGTAAAGTTTATAAAGGTGATATGTAAATCCTCTTCTTATTTCGAAATGTTACATAGTTTTTATCTCTCTTTTCTCTCAGAGGAGGAAACGAAGAAGCGATTGCGAGAACAACGTACGAAGGAGGCGGAAGCGAGAAGATTGAAAGAAACCGAAGAGAGATTAAAAAGACTTCAAGAGAAAAAGGAGGATGACAAGATCTATCGGGAAATGATGAAACGAAAACAGGTAAAGAAGAGGACGTAGAATTTGGTATTCACATAAAGGAATTCAGGGGCGGATCTTCGGCGGAGTGCACCCCCCCCCCCTAGTGGTGTCTAGCCCCCCCCCCCCCCATAGAAGTCCAGCACCACTCTAAGTTAATCTGCTTGACCATACATTTTCTGCTTTTCGAATAGCGATTAGCGGAACTTCTACTGTTAGCGCGTGTCGATTTCTTCAAGCGATTCAATTGATTTGTCAGCTCACGAGAAAATACTCAGAATGCTTTAGATATAAATTTCATGGTTGAATATGTAAACATGTCGAGGGTGTTATACAGCCATATTCAAACCAGACACAGTACTAAAATGCGGTGCCCGTCTGCAAATAAAACTTCCAGCATTTCCGCCTACAGTACTTGTACGTACAAGTAAAGTTATATTTAGCACGCTACATTTTCCTGTCGTCCGCCAGTTGGTCCGTACGTTAGGATCAGAACTGCGTTTTAAAGCCTTCAAAATAAAATATTTTGGGCTCAAAATACTAGCAAAATGAAGAGAAAAGTGAGACGAATATACTGGTATACGGCCGAATAGAGAAAACCAACCATACAGAAGTTGTTAAGGATCAAACGTACGGGTACATTTTAAATTAGTTTAACAATTTTGAGCGATTTGTCAACGAACAATTTCGCTTATTAGCCATTCCGAAGTTGACGAGAGGATTGGGGACGAGTGTTAAAAAGTGCCCAAATTAAGAAACGAGCCAAATCACTAAAAAGACCACCTCAAAATTAGTAAGTATACAATTGTGTTTTCACTTTTCATTTACTTGTGACAGGAACAAGAGGAGCAAGATCGCAAGCAGAGGATCCAGGACGAGAAACGTGCTCACGAACAGAAACAGCGCGAGAGAGCTCGCGAGAAAGAAGAGGAGAGAGAGAGACGACTTCGAGAGATCAAAGAGCGAGAGGCGAAGAGATTAGAGAAGGAAGAGGCTGAGAGAAAGGAAAGGGAAGAGAAAGAAAGAAAACAGAGGTTAATATTGGACAGCTTTTATTGTATACTAAATATTTTTCCGCGGTTTTTGCGCACATCATAGAGACCTTAAGATTGACGTTTACGGCAAACGTCAAACCGCTAGCGAAGTTTTTGATTTTACAAGTCTATTATAACAGCTTTTACACCAGTTTTGACATATAAACAATTATTAAACTTGTGCTCTTTAGCAATGATTTAAAAGAAAGCAAATTAACCACTAGTCACGTATTCGCGAAAGCAGTAAATTATGATTTGGCGTCCGAAGTTTACGTTTGGCGTATAAATTTCATGCTTTAACGACTATACAAGCCCTCATAGCAGTTCAAGCATGAAATTTATACGCCAAACGTAAACTTCAAACGCCAAATCATAATTTACTGCTTTCGCGAATACGTG